ATTATTGATAAGGCGTCGGAGTTAAATTACTGTATCGAAGGGTGAAACTACGTCACATTTAATTCGTATTTTATTCAGGTTCCTTTTAGACTTTAGTTATTCCTAATCCGTAGTTCCCTTTTTCAATTATTCTATTCCTCATTGTTGGAACGCCGGTTTTCTTCGATTCCTCACCACACTCTCTCTTAGGAAATCAAATGAATATTTATCCAAACTAGGCGTCGTTTTTCTAGCAAACATATTCCTAACGCTTGCACATATTCTTCCCTAATTAGATGACTCATTGTTTTGTTAACTTGTTTACTGTGAGCATCTTATTTTTTTTTTCTTAAATTACAAATCAACTCCTAGGAATTTATTCTCATTGTTGTCTATAATCATCGTTGTTTTAAAACTCTTAGACTGCAACTGTAGATTGAGAATAACCTAATAGTAATTTTTAGCTTTTATCCGAAATATGGATAAGGGAATGGAAAATGAATTTTTGCTTAAAATATTGAATAAAAAATAAATGAATTTCTGTTTAGGTCGTTTCTTTAGTGATCATGTTATTTATTACTCATAATTTTTATACATAATATAAACTCCCGAGATTTTTTGGTAGTTCTATCGTCCCTCAACTATAATTGAAAGTCTGAACCTAGGGTTCGCCAACCGGATTTTGTCATCGAGCCATAGTTTAAAGAATTGTGGAATCTACTGGAGTCTACAGTGGAATCTACCTTCAGGTAGAAGAAAATGGGTTTTTTTTTTTTTAATTGGTCCATATTAGTGAGATATCTGAGCTAAATAATTGAACAACCACAATATGCTCTGTTTTTAATTTATATTATATTGTTTCTGTTATGAAAGTATTTTTTTTTTTTAAACAAACCTTAATTTCATAAAAAATTCAATTAAAAATATAATTACATAAATAATATATTATAATTATATAAATCTCACTTCATACAGTTTATTTATTTTTCTTACAGATTAATTATAGTTAAAAATCTCCTCCAAAATTTTAACGTACAGCTTTATAAATGGGAGAGAGGATGGTAAATGGGAAGGAGATAGTTCTAGGGGAGTATTAAGTGGTAGTCTGGATGAATTATGATCACGAGGGGAAATACTACTTCTAACTTAATATTATTATATGTTAGGTTTTGTTTGTCCTGAACGAATATTCCTATTTGGAATAATATCGACTTTATTCATTTTGGTTTATTATTTTCAACAATGACCCATTGTAATCGTCTAAAAAATTAAAAAATTTAACCCTTTCCCCGCATGAATTTGGGATTTTACGTTTCACAAAACGTAGAATTCGAAAATGGAATAAAAAAAAATGTATCCGTCCTCTGTCTTCGGGTTTTTCCGAGACTACTGGACCTCGACATTACTATCCGCCCTTTCCTTCCAAGATGGCGGCCGAAAAACCTTTGTTGATATAGACTATAGAATGTACCAATTTTAATGAAACTTGGCTAAAGTCTTCTCCTCGATGCCCTTTAAACTTATCTACGTAACGTACTTCAACTAAAATAAGCTGGAAAAAAAAGTTACGAGGGGTGGTAAAATTATATTTCTGAAGTATATTTATTTGTGTCTGTTTTTTTGGTTTATTATTTTCAATATTCAACCATTGTGATCCACCAAAAAATTAAAAAACTTAACACTCTCTCAAAATTTGAGGTTTCACGTTTCAGGATGAGTAGAATTCGAAAAACGAATAAAAATTTTTTTGTCCGTCCGCCGTCCGCGCATTTTCTCCGAAACTGCTGGACCTATTTTTTTCAAATTTTGATATAAAACCAGAGGTCACCCGAGGATGATCCTCCTTCATCGACAGTATTATCCGCCTTTTACTTTCAAAATGGCGGCCGAAAAACCTGCGTTGCTATAGACGGTAGCTCCTAAACGAATGTACAGATTTCAATGAAACTTCGCTAAAGTCATTTTCTCGACGCCCTTTAAATTTATCTGTATAACATACTTCAACGAAAAGAAGCTGGAAAAAAGTTACGAGAGATGGTAAAATTAAATTCCGAATAACTCGAAAAGTTTATACTTTTTTGTTGATATTGTATTATGGTTTTTTAAAAGTTTACGAAATTTCCTTAAAAAAAAAAATCGTTAAAATCGGACAGTTACGAGCAAAGATATGGTCTCCGGTGTTTTTATATGTTCTACTCCAAATGTTATATCCTTGGTTTGGTTTTTAAATTTTGAATGTGTTACTGAAGTAATGCTATTTTTTTTTAGCATATTACTAATTATTAAAAAAAAAGGTTTAGTCCAATAATTTGAATCACCTTTAGTTTATTTTTCTTTGTAACTCGGAAGGTAATGTTACTTTAGATGTATAATTGTTTGGAAATAATAAATCATTGTGAAATAATTTGCAGCGTCTTTTTTTTTTTAAGTTTACGAACATTCCTAAAAAAATATTGAAATCGGACAACTCGGTAGAAAGATATGCTGTTCTAAATATTATTCATATGTTCTACTGCAAAGCTTATATATTTTTGTTTTTGTTTTTTATTTTTTGAAAATTTAACATCAATAGAAGCATTGTTGTCAATTTTTAATAAATTATCAATGATGAAAAAAATATATTTAGGCCATTATTAGGAATCGCCTTTTATTTATGTTAAATGGATATTAATTTTGATGTTAAATTGTTTGAAAATAATAAACCATTGTGTAATAATTTGCAGCGTTTTTTATTTGGAAAGAGGATATTTCGATAGCTTAAATCGTTTTTTTTATTTAATTCAGAACTAGTAGAATCCAATGTCCTTAACACCATCTACTTTCTATTAAATTGATTGATTTGTTTAATCATGAGCGGATCAGAAAATTCACAGCTATAGTTGTATAGCTATAGTTCTATGTTACAATCAAGATAAACAAAACTGTTTGAGATAAAATCTTAACGAGAGCTGTGGACAAAATGAGGCAACTATCTACGAGGCACTTCCGCAACCAATTAGGGAACATTTAAGGCAAAAAACCAACCGTGAACATACAATTCAGCATTTGCTTTGATAATGTCTCATTTATTTCGTTGTTTTATTTAATTAAGAAGAGGTACTTATTAACTACCCCAGAACGGCCTTTCTCGAAGCCCATTGCATTTTACAGTACTCAGATTTTGTTTAAAATAATATTTTAATAAAGTATCAGTTTTATTATAGAAAAATAAATAAATTTCAAATTAGAGTCTTAAGAATCCAATAAAAAGTTAAAATTAGTCCGAAAATTCTTTAAGGATTATATATCGGTCATCAAGTGGAACTACCCAAACGTAAAATTAAAAAAAAAAAAATGTTAAGTCGTCAAATGGACGTGTTTATTAAAATCAACTACATAATTGAATAGAAGCAAATTTTGACTGGAAAGAAGAAATTTACACTAGCACCATCAATTAAAAAAATTATGTTACTTATGTTAGGGAATCAAAAGTTATATTTATGTTATAAATATTTAATTGTTTCACATATTGTTAAAATAGGCATATGTGGATAATTGTAATTAATTGTTGTTATAAAAGTCAAAAAGTGTAAAGTTCTAAAAATCTCTGTTCAAAGTTTTAATGAAATAAAACCAAGTTTATTTCAAAATAGAGTACTCAAGTTATTCTAGCTCGAACCTAGGGATCAATTATAACGGTTAGTTATATATTTGATCCCTAACCGAACAACTCATATAATAATAATTCTAATTTCGCCTTTCCTATAAAAATTTCATGATTTGAAGTTGTGTCATTGTTCCATCGTATGAGGGATATTGTAAGTACATGGTGTCCCGAAAGTAGAGAAAAATATTCGTAGTAATGATAGCTGATCTCCAAAGCGACAAAATATCTCAAAAAAACAATGGTCTCATTTTCGGCAAAAAGGTAGAAAATATAAGTTTTGTGTGTTTTTCTAAGAAAGTAAACTAGACAAAATTTACTTCATACGAAAGTAGAGTACATTTAAGCGGCAAAATTAAGCTAAGTTCTGTTGGAAAAAAAAAATCATAAATTATTTCTTTTTTCGTTTTTTTTTTTCTAATCTTTCAACTACACTGTAGATACCCAGTATATTTGACAGGATGTAAAATAACATTATTTTTTTATGCTGATTGAGGTGAATCTCAAGGTCTTTCCTAATGTACCTTAATTTAATTTATATGGACTTAAAGCGGACGTATTAAAAAGAGGACGTTTTTCTAAAGGTGGGGTATCTCTAGGATAGTCGGATGATGATAAAAATAAAAAAAAGCAAATTATTTATAATCTTTTTAAAACAGAACTTAGCTTGGTTTAGCCGCTCAGATGTACTATTGAAATGATTTAAATAGTTACAATGACAAACTCTAATTTCATTTGAAATAAGTTTTATCTAGTTGACTGATAAGGAATTGTTAATTACTTAAATTAAGTATTTCTTTAGTTATCGATTGCTACAAAACAAAAAAACGTGACTTGTTTAAAAAAACACTAAACTCAAACTTTCTAGTTTTCTGCCGAATATAAACTTTTTTTAGTTCCGGAGATCTGCTATCATTCCTATAAATATTCTCCTCTAATTACGGATGTAATTAGTACCCTGTATTTTACGAAATCCACAACTATTTTATTTTGGCAATACGAATTTTCATTGCTTGTAGGTATTAAGGCACAAATTTGTCAATAGTTGATTTTTTGTATGAAAACAATAATTAGTTTGTAGTTGACAACAAGTGGAGATAATTTTTATATTCATGCGTACTTAATCGAGATTTATTTTTTTTAATATATACTGAAACATTCTTAAGAAAAATTAAATTGAGAGATATTTGATGCAGTCTGTATTTATACACTAAAAAGAATTTTCAAAATATTTTGCGAGACAGCTCCTGATGAAAACATTAGACTAATACCATCCACCGAAGATATACAGAGAGCCTGCAGAGTAGATAAGAGGTTGAGGATTATTGTTAGTTTGTGATGGACTGCGATGGCTTCTTGGTTAACTTGTCCTGTGTTTCAGGGTTCCCGAAGAAGGCACATCGTACTATACAGCACAATGACCCACCCTGCGTCCACCACCGTCATCAAGTAAGAGCATTTCAATTTTCAGTTCCTTCATCTTAAGTTATTGCTCGAAATGAGCCCGACATTTAAATCAACGAAACTCTTGGACAACTGTCCGTCAAAAGGATATTATATATATATTGGATCAAGTCCTCTATAGGGTAATAGATATTTTATTAATAAGCGATGCTGCCTAGATAGAGAGGATTTCTGCAATATTTATACACAGCTGATCAATATGTACTATACATAACAATCCTCGTTATTAAGTATATGGTCGAATAAATTCTTAAATCATTTCTCACGACTTTGCAATAGGTCACTGGCGTATCCATAGGGGGAGGGGTGTTTCGGAATGAAGCTCCCCTCCCACAAAATGGAAAAATATTTCTATTTATTGAACTTGAACTTCCATTCATTGAACTTCAAAATGGCCGAAACTTCATCCTTTAAAATAATTATGTTATAAAACAATGGTTGTTATGAAACAGTCCTAGATTTATGTACAATAGAATTATTTTTTTCATTGGTCTATATTTGTTTCTGTCACTGATCTCAGCTAAATACTTAAGCAATCATAATATATTTTATTTTAAATTATAACGCATGTATTTCAGCTACTGAACCTAAGAAAAATAATATGAATAATATATCCCCTAAAATCACTGTTATTTCTGTAAACATTTTTTTTTTATTGGCCTTCAAGGATCATTTAAACATTATTTTATGTATTTTTTTTCCTTTTTCCCCAGAGTAATTGCTGTTGTTAAAAAAAAATATTAAAATCATATCCAAGCTCCCTCAGAATTAAATCATTGATCCGATATTTGATGACCTTCTTACAGCATATTTCAATCACAATAAGTCATGAAAAGATATGTGTTACGTATGTTACATGCTTCCCATCCAAAAGGGCCTCAAGAAATTCTTCCAATTAGCTACTTAACTAATCACATTCAAAAATTAAATTGGGCGGTGTTAGAATTTATAGGAATATATTTTAAGTGAAGAAACAATTGTAACTCCTTTTATTTAATAACGTAAACAAGGACAAAAGAAAATAACTTTTTTCGACGAACGACTTTCTAATAGCATTCAAAAGTGCTCTTGTTATGTCAACAAAAACACTAAGAAATTTTGTTATTCTATATTTATATCTTGAAGTTCCGTAAGAGGCCTTAAAAAAAAGTATTAATTTTCTCTACTTTAGTTTTACATATTTTTGATTAAGCACATCTTAAACTGCTTAAAACAACTAAGTAATAATAATAATAATTAACTTGCCAATTGTTTCGAGTGTTTTGTTTTGAAGAAGTGTTTTAAAGGGATGAATACATATAGATGAAGATAGTTTCGGATATTTATATTTTAAGGATAGTGACCAACAATTCGAAAGTAAAAAAAATTAATTATAACAGTTTAATTCAACTCTGAATTAACATTTCTTAGGTAAAAAGCCCATTTATTTAAACTTCACGAAAAATCAAGTTATACGTTTAGAGCACCCGAACATCATATTATTGTTGGTACAATAAAGAAGGGTCTTTTGATAGTGATAAAAAATAATTAATAAAAAAAATGTATAATGTAATTAGAGAAAAAATTAAATATTTGTAATAAAAAATTATTTGTAAGCCCCTTGCGGAATTTAAAGATATAAATATATAATAACGAAATTTCGTAGTGTGTTTTGACATTCAAATTCAACTCTTTAATATTATTAAAAACCTGTATGCCGAAAAAAGTGTTTTTCTTTTCGCTCTTCTTCCCCGTACATACACCATCTTCAAGTACCACTGCAAGGAATACCTAATACCTAATCTTAAAAATAAACAGGTCATTCAAATTTTTTTTTAACCAAAGTTAAGACAAATAAAGTAATTTAAAAAAAAAAATTATAAAACTAATGTAAAATGATTAAGTTCTAATTAGGATCATGAAATTATATAATTAATCGTAGTTATAATATAATATGTATAATAATTAGTGCATAGCGTAAGTGATATAAATCAAATTTGATATCACGTAAAATAATAAAATTATTAAGTAAACATAAGTAATTGTTTGACTATTAATTGGTGTAAATTAATAATAATATCAAATGATATAAAAAGTAATGTAAATTTGGGCACACCCAGGATAAAAAAAAATAATTACTTCAAAATAAAAGAAATTAAACTTAAAAAATTGCCTCGCCCTTCATAAGAAATTTTTTTCGATCTTGGTACGCCCTTTATTTTGGATTCGCACCTATCAAGTGGTGGTAGGTTTCTTTTTTATTTCCCTTGTGGGATGTCACTAAGATGTAAAATCTAAATTTTCGACATCAGCGGCTCCCCCGGATCTCTTTAGAATATCCTAAAAATTGCTGAATTTTTTTTCGTTTTTTTTCTATTTTGAAGGGTCATGTAATAGACAAAAAAACATAAATACGTTTTTAAATTAGTTTAAATTTACTACAATATGAGACCAGAATAGGCTGAGCAAACCCAAGAGCTTTTCATAATTTGGCAAATTTTTCATACTTGAAAATTATAAGCTATAATAATTTGTATGTTTAATCATACGCAATATTAATTTTAAAGATTAATAATCTGTCCGATATGAGGCAGTGAAATAAAAAATTATTCAATTTAGTATTTTGAAGAAGTTTGGGAGGATGGTGAAGGTTTGGTGAGAGTGAGATCACTGTTCATAACCAGAACATATGAAACTGAAATACAAAATTTATTTAACAAACATTTACATCAAGTGTAGGAAAAATGTCATCTCGCGGGATTAAAAATCGGTAGCAAGTTGCACTTGAAGAGATGTATCTATATCTATTAATATGATATAAGGAAAAGAAATCTCCCGATGTTTCATCAAAGTGATTAGTGCCAGGTTGGGTTGAGACAATGACGTGATGTGTCATGGACGTGACATTAACTGTTGAGGACTATTAACGAGACGACATGAGCCATTATCATTGGCGAGAAGTAGGGCGTCCATGGGCTACCTGTCATTGTTTTCAGCTCGATATGTTAGCACTATCGATACGAGACAATGCTCCGCCATATCGCTCTCAATAGTCAGTCCTTCCGACGAAGAGAAACCTCCATCGACACCTAACCTCGATGTCATTGAAGCTAATGCCATTCCCAAACTACCGCTCAGTTCTTAAATGTATCGTCGAAAATTTCGCGTCCTTCTCGAAGGTTAAAGACCTACCAAGCCTTCCATCAGTTCATTACCAGGGCCATCCGAATACGAATGACGAATGAAATTTAACAATCTCTTTGATAGAGCCTGTGTATACTTTCTTTATCAAGGAGAAGTTTATTCAGTTGTCATTTTTCATTTCTTTTTTTTTTTTTATTTATCAAACTAAAGGTTTTGTGTTGTTGATTCTAGTAGATGATTTATAGCTTGATCAAGTGACTTTTTAAACTAACTGCCTTGTCCACCCCTTAGGCAAGACTGATCACTATACTGATCGTCAATCAGAAAACATCCTTTTCGGTTTCAGATTGGTTATGCGCGCTTTGAAACTATGAATACATTACAGTCTTAATTATAGCGGGAATGATGACCATATAATACAGTGAAACCTGACTTAGATGACACTTATCCATAGAGAACAATTTTATGAACACTATCTTATTTGATAGTATTAAAACTTGCGAGTACCAAACGCTCTCTATAACGACTCGAACGGGCTTGATGCAAGTATTTTGATTTATAAATTTCTCCAAAAAGGAGAGTAGGAAACCAGTGAAGTTTAAATAATGAGAACATCAAAAAATTTGTATATTCTATATATAATCTGCAGAGCCAAAAGTTTCTCAAAACTATTCTCCTTCGTTTGTCATTTAAAGAGATTAAAATTTTTCAATTCAGCTCTCAAGAGCAATGAATTTTGATGAATGAGGTATCAAATGAAAGAAGATTTCATAGAGAAGTGACGAATCGTAAGCTCGATTCTTGAATTTCTACTACTAATAAAGCTTCTCTATCTTCATGAGTGAGGAAGCCAAAATTTTGAGATTTTAAAACTCAGATGGTTTCGAAAGTCGATAAATCGACACGGGTTTGATTGTGTTTTGAAGAATTTGATACGGATATCAAGACCTTTGAAACTACAACCCTACACTGCGTTTTGAAGCCCAAAAATGTCCCGTTTTCAAAATAATTAGTATTTCTTGCCGAATGCTTCTTAAGTAATGTTGCAATGGAATACTTACCATGTTTTGTTTAGGTTTTAAAAATTAACAGTAAAAAAGTAAATGGAGTGGAATAGGTATATGATGCCTTGGGCTCTTCGGATAATACAGAAAGAAAGTTTTTGATATTTTTAGTAATTAAAAAATATATATTTAAGTATATATTATATACTCTAAGTAATAGACGTCTATACTCTAAGTGAAAGAGCAACAAAGACTCTTCTGCACCAAATAAATAGTCTTGAGCGAGTACAATACTGGATTAATTAGTGCAAGTTCAGGGATAGCTGCGTTTTACTGCCTAACTTTTAATGTTAAGAGATATTTTCCAGTGGGAGATGTTAATGATTTACTATGTAAATTTGATATTATTATAATCTCGACCTCGGGCGGATCTAAGGGGGAGTCTTTGGGACTGAAGCTCTCTCCCTCCTTCCCCTAAAACGGTAAAATATAACCATGTTTTATAGAAAAATATATTAAAAAATTATCTCTTAAAGTATTATTGTTCATGCAATTACATTTAAAAGGACTTTAGGAATCACTTAAACACCATTTCATAAAGGTAGTTAGTTTCTTTCTTTTTTTCCGAAGTAATTATCGTCATTTTTATGAAAAAAAAAAAAGCTTTCAGGCTGAAGCATCAAAAAAATTAAATCCTGGATCTGCTAGTGATCTTAACTTATTATGATCATTTGATACCTCATTGATCAAAATCTATTGCCCTTGGGAGCCGAAAAAGGGATCTATAATATACGTGTTGTATATTGTATATATTGTGTAAATTGTTACTTTACAATTTAGTTGTGGTAAAGTATGAAA